GGAAACAGTGGTCAGAAGCTTGTCAGACTGCCTTTGAGGAACTAAAATCCAAGTTTGTAGAACCTCCTATCCTGACATTTGCTGATTTTGACTTGCCTTTTATACTGGATGTAGATGCGAGTCTTTCCGGCTTAGGGGCTGTCTTGTCTCAAGTTCAGGGAGGAGAGGAGAAGGTGGTTGCCTTTGCCAGTCGTTGCCTGCGAGAAAATGAGAGGAACATGGAAAATTACAGCTCTCGCAAGTTAGAATTATTAGGACTGAAGTGGGCTATCACAGAGAAGTTTAAAGATTACCTCTATGGTTCAGTTTTCACCGTCAGGACGGATAATAACCCGTTAAGCCATCTCAATACATCGAAACTTGGTGCTACGGAGCAACGGTGGGTTGCCACTCTGGCAGCTTACAATTTCAACATCATATATCGCCCTGGTCGTGTCAACTCCAATGCAGATGGCCTTTCTCGTCAACATCACATAGAGAGTGATCAAGGCAGTGTCTCTGAAGTAATAGCAGAGGAAAGCAAGTTCAATGCCTCTTCAACTTCTTTGCCTGCAACTTTGCAAGTGAAGATATTCCACACTGTTGGTGAACTTTGTCCAGCGCGAGTCCAAGCAGATGTTTGTTCCACTATAGCTTCTTTTCCATCTCTGTCTGCATCTGAATTAGCCAAATTACAGCAGGATGATCCTGACATTCACAGGTTTTTGCAGTTTCACTGTTCAGACAACTTAGATAAATCATCGAGAAAGCATGAATCGTCGGCAGTCAAGGTTTTGTTTAGCCAAGCTAAACGTCTGAAACTTGACAATGGTGTCCTCTGCAGGGAAGTTCAAGATCCTGTCCTTGGTGAGTTACACCAAGTGGTTCTTCCATCTAGCTTAAGATCTAAAATCTTGACTAGCCTGCACAACGACTTTGGTCATCAAGGTGAAGAGAGGACGATGTCTCTAGTTCGTCGACGTTGTTTTTGGCCATTCATGTATAGGGACATAAAGAAGTGGATTCGGGAGTGTGAACGTTGTTCTGTAGCTAAGTTACCCTCACCATCGGTGAGAAACCCTCTTGGTCATTTAGTTGCCTCTAGACCACTGGAGACAATAGCTATAGATTTTACTTTATTGGAGCAGGCGTCTGATAGAACTGAGAATGTCCTTGTCATCACTGATGTTTTCAGCAAATTCACTTTGGCAGTCCCTACCAAGGATCAGACAGCCAAAACTACAGCGAATGCTCTAGTAAAAGAGTGGTTTTTCAAGTATGGAGTCCCGCATCGGATTCACTCTGACCAAGGACGCCAATTTGAGGGAGAACTCATTGCAAATCTGTGCAAGCTGTACAACGTCACCAAGTCCAGAACTACTCCCTATCATCCCCAGGGCAATGCACAGTGTGAAAGATTTAACCGCACTATGCATAATCTTCTTCGCACTTTGTCTGCAAAGCAGAAACAAGCCTGGCCAAAACACCTACCAGAACTTCTCTTTGCTTATAATGCTACTGAGCATTCATCTACAGGTTTCTCCCCTTTCTATCTTATGTTTGGCCGAGAGCCTTTGCTGCCAGTAGATCTCCTACTTAACAGAGACCTACCTGAAGACATCACCAATGACTGGGTTGCTCTACATCAATCCCGGTTAAAGGAGGCATATCACCTGGCACAAAGAAGAACACAACATGAGTTAGGGAAGAGCAAGAAGCATTTTGACCGTAGAACGAATCCCAACAGGTTTAGAGTAGGCGATCTTGTCTATCTTCGTAAACACCACAAAGGTAGAAGTAAAATCCAAGATCACTACTTTCCTGACATCTACAAAGTTATCCGTCACCATTCAGAGGATTCCTTTGTGTACACCATCGAATTAGCGGATGGCTCTGGTGGGCAGAAAACTGTGAATTCTTCTGAACTTAAACTTGTTTCTACCCCTTTGGGTGAGCTAGCTACTTCTCCATCTTTTCCTAGTCCTCCTTCTCAAGAGGAAACACCTTCACATTCTAGCACTTCATCATCAGACACTGAATATGAAGTTGAAGTGTTCTTACCTGAGGAAGATGAAGATACTGCTCCTCCCCAACAGCAAGATGCACAGCCTCCTCCTCCTCAACAGCCAACCATACGACGTTCCACTCGATCCACCAGAGGGAAACATAGCAACGTCCACAGGCTACCTCGTTCTGTCCTCCAACAACAACATCTGCTGCTCACTAGCGACAGACAAATAATTATGTTGCTGGTCAGTGCCATAGTCATGTTGATAGGCCTGAATATTGGACAGACATTCGGCTATTTCCATCTGCTGTGGATTGTTCCATCTGTCACCTTACTTATCGGGTGCAAACTCTATTTTCGGTGGCTGATCGAGCATATAGCTAGACTCTATGGTTGGCTGCAGACTTTTCAGAACTATACTGATGGATAGTGATGTTCTGAATAATATATGTATATAATTTGTTTAAAAAAAAAAAAAAAAGTATTTTTATGACATGATTTGATCACCACTTATCCTACTGTGATTGCCTTTCTGTATCTTTAATCTTTTCATCTGTATTTAAGAACACACTTGTGATCTTTTACTCAGTCTTGAAATCTTGTCTCATTATTTCCAATTCCCATAATTAGACACAACTAAAACAAATGTGTCATTACTGCAATCATGATTTTTCTACTCTGAAAACATCACCATTAGAAAATAATCTTACCTTTATGACCTTGCTGCCATTCTTGTTCTTTTCTTCATTCTTTCATGTCTCTTGTTGATCACTTCTATTGAATCCATACGAGGTTACTAAGACGGTCCAACGAGATAAACTCAGGCCAGGGACATCCTGGATTGGATATATACGTCTAATACGCTTCGTCATGGTATTTTCTATTCTTGGCATTTATTTGCCTATATTTTGCAAATTTTTGCAATTATTAAGGAAATAACCTTCTTGGAGAGTTCTATTTGTCTATATATGAGATAAACTCTGCCTTAGTGACAGACTAAGGATGGACTCCTGATTCTACAAGATCTAGTTTCCTTCATTTTTATTATCATCATGTGGTCGAAGAGTACATGTACATATGATTGCAGTGCACTGTGATGGTCACTCACTTTTCCTTTGCAATTCGACTTTGCCTATTTCTCTGATAACTTTGAATTTCACTTCTAAAAAATTCTTTTTTCTTTAAAATTAGGGGGTGAGTGTAACCAGGTCGGGTTGCAGTACTTACTTTTCCCCGACTGGTTCCTTACTCCAGCATTATTTCATACCAAACTTTTGTAACTTCGTGTTTGTGTAGATTTACATGTGAGCAGCCATTGCGATCATGCTTTTTGACAAGCGCCCTCTCGCGGCCAACTAAACTTTTTTTTAACAGCGCGCGCCGCCTAGAATTTTGCTTAACTATGCGATGGGCGTAGCGAGCGTGCAAGTTTTGCATTCCACCGCGCTTTGTTTAAGAGGAATAGTTGACATTCCGGGCGTTTCGGTATATTTTTCTTGTAGGGCCTGCTGCGGAATATTGTTGATTTCGATCCAACATCTTGTTGCGAGCAGACCATCTATTACGAGCGCTTACACTCTCCACTTTTATTGAAATTTTGAGAGAGGCTCCCTATACTGCAGTAGAATAGTTTCATCTATTTTTTGCTGCTTCTACTTCGATTTTCACATCGGACACGGAGTAGGCATGAACGTAGATCTTCCCAAGTGATTAATATCCTTGGAGCTACTTCATTAGCCATTCCCCTTTTGACTGTCGTTTTTATATACCCAACCAAGTTTCTAATATAATTCTTGTGTAAATATCTAATAATTTGTATATATTGTCTCTATTTGTATTATAAATAAAACCATTTCGTATTTGTGAGACTACAGAAAGTTCGCTCTTCCCAAATTATTTTTTAGTGGAACCACTCGGACATAAGGAGAGTGTCCCATTTTAACAAACTAAATTCCACTCTCCCCGGTTACACAGAGATGAAATTTGAACCACACCACCACCACGGCATTCATAGTCCATCCTTAACCCATCTTTGCCACATGACCACTGAGCACATTGCAACACTTGATGCTTGCAGGCCACAGATTTGCAGATATTTTTGAAGTTACAGTTGACAGAAGCCATTCTCTTACCGAAACCATGTTTTAGTTCATACTTTAAACACTGCATGGTTACCAAAGGCCCAGACATTCTAATGCAGGTCGGATAATGTACCATATGATGGTGCTTGTTAATCATCCTCTCATAAGGGAATGTCCGCTTGAAGTGTGAATGATGGTCATGAATCAAATGCTTCAGGTAGACAGTTTGGGATACATGAATAACAGGTGCATATATAATATCCATGCACTGAAGCAGGAGGAGTAGCACTTCATAGCAGGCATTGCCATGAGGAACACGATCACCAATGATGAGAGGAAGCATACGGATCAAACACCACATTTGTGCTGCCTTTAGCCCCAGTTTGTGATCCTCTAGATTCAGCAGACGATTACGTTGCAAGAGAGATGGCTTATTTTTCTTGTCACAGAATCCGTATTGGAAGGCCTTTAATCGCTGATTCAACTCGTTGAATGATATGATCTGATCAATGAAGATTAAATGGTTGAGTACCAATTTCACTTCATACGGGCATACTCCTTCCAACAAGTCAAGCATGACGTCCAAATTGTAGTTTGTAGTGCAGTGAAAGCATCGCAAGGTATTCAAAGGGCAGTTATTTCTTAGACCAGTCGCAGGATCTCCCTGTCGTCTTCTGGAGGCAACTTCAGCAGCAGCATCGTGATCTTCTATCATTCGTGGTTCAAACTCGTCCTCCAGGAAATTAACTTGAATATCATCACGTGTCGCTTTACATAATCTGCAAAGCATGTTTGCTGAGCTCATGAAACCCAATAACTCATGTGCTGCTAGTGAGTCTGCACTGAACGAAACCAAGGCACCATGGACATTCAATATGTTACCATTGACATGAAGCTGTACACCAGTATCGCTTTCTAACTGCTTCATTTCCTCAATGAACGGTTTCAAAAATTGGTGCGAATCCATATTTTTTCAAGTCAGCTGAGTAACATACAACCAATAGAAATATACTGTTCATTGAAGAATTGTAGTGGTGTGGGAGATTTTGAATTGAATAATAAAACAGGCCAAGTTTGTGTATTCCTGTTTTACTACCAAGGGGGTTAACGACTTCCACGTCATCGTAATACAGCTGGAATCTAAGTGCTTTTGGATGATCAATCAAAAATCCATGCTGACCAGCAGAGTACCCATCCTGATATCCGATGAAGTATCCTTGAGGGGACTTTTTTTCACTGTCAACAAGTTGCCTTACCTGTTCATTCAAGACAAGTTTTAGTACTTCCAACACAGGAATGTACTGGAATGTTTCCGTTACAAGTTTTTGTATTGTCTGACCGGTTTTTCGATCAACAGCCTGATCAATCCTAGTTCCCAAAGCTGTTTCAACTGGTGGCACTAACAATAATCTATCCAGCATATAGTTCATCTGTTGATGTGGTGTCTCTAGGCCAGAAAATGGATTTTCTAAAGAAGAAAACTTTCCAAACAACTCCTGCACATCATCAGCATTTGGATCAATCCCATGATTCTGCATTACAGACAATGTATGTTGTCTGAGTGCCTGAAGAGTATTACTAAAAATCACCTTGGTTCCATTGATAACCTTGTCTCTTGTTGAAAAAGTCACTGATGCAGAAGATCTTAGTTTCACAATCAGTAAGGCAGCAACTTGCTTTACTAAATCTTCATCAAAATTATTAAAGTATTCGATATCGGCCTGCTCTGGGTCATCTGCATCTTGATCTTCTTCTTCGGGTTCAGAGTCTGAACCTGCATTGTGTTCATCATTCTCCAGCTCATGATTTTGAATTTCCTGACCATTGGGGTTTTTAATAATAGGTGCAAACATGTGAAATAATCTAATATGCCTCAAGAAGGAATTCATTAGGGTAAAAGTCTTCATACAACCATTTTGACAACATATGAGTCTTTCCTCCGTAGAGCCCCAGATTCCATGCACCCAGCGTAAATGTACGGCCAGTTCTTTCGTGCCTTCATTCACACGGATACGTCTGTTGCACTTGAAGCATGTCAACTCCATTTTAACGTTGTTAGATTCATGGCTATCCGCTCCGTTCACAAGTACCCCTCACCGGCAAAGAGAGTACATTTGGGGGTAACCGACCGACGCCATCTGGCCTGACTGCAAAATTTGCCGCAAAGCGCGGCCACTGCATGTACATAGTACAAATCCCCTGGTGTACGTGCGTCACACACAAGGATCAGTGCGCGTCAACCAGTGAAATGTCCCGCCCATGGGACGTCGTTGCTAGGTAAAGGGGCGCCCTCTTTGTCGGTGCACGGAGCCCATAGCTTACACAGCAATGGCCAACTCCATGGTTTCAAATTTCTGAAAAAAGACAAACGCACCAATCTATGTCAAATCAACAAATTTCAGGAAAAAGTTGTAATTTTTGCATGTCCCACATTTTGCTGAAACTCTGCTGAAGCTCCCACATAATGAGATGCAGCCAAGTGCACAATTTTTTTTTCAAATGTCTTGATTTCGACAAAGCAAAAACTCTGTGACCCCCTGGCAAGAGTGTTTTTAATCACGTTTTCTAGTATGTGAGTATTTGGTAATAAAAAAGCAGAGCTACAAATTTCAATTTTTGAGAGCAACTTTAAAGACATTTTGCGAAGAAATGGAAATTGCTAACGATTTGATATTGTACACATCTACAGTGCACCAAATTCCTGCTAAACCGACACATGTACAGGTACATGTACATGTGGGTTTTTTTTTTAAAGCACCATTAAATTTGGCATGTGTTAAAGCACAACGTGCCTGGCATTAAAGAGCTTTTTTGGTAGTCATCATCACTATATCCAAAGTGCAACTTAGTCATGTTTGCTAGGGAATGAGTACATCCCTCAACATGGCGTTTTATTATCTTGTTCAACTTGATTCTTTTCTCATTTCGCATGGATCCTCTGCTACATGTATACAACCCTTGCAACGACATATTTTTTGGTGTGCGACATTTGGAAGTTCGGGGGGGGTCTGACTATTTTTTTTTTTTGGGGGGGGGTCTGACATTTTCAATGCCAGCTGCATGTCAGTGTGCGATGAAGTCTTTGTTGGACTGTGATGATGCAGGTGGACCATGTCCAGATAAGCAACTCAACAAAATCAGTTTAAAAGTCAAATTTTATATTGACAATTATGAAAAAATAGGCTTCAATAAAAAAAAAAACGTTTTGGAATGATAAAAGACTACAAGAATTTTGTGCTACAGCCGAACAGTACCAAAAATAGCCTTACTTGATGGCCTTCCGAACCGAACCCTACACGAATCGAACCCAAATGTCGGTTCGGAAGAGTTCGGCAAGTATTTGTTGATGATAGCGCTAGGAATGCTAATGCTTATGGTGTCCTAAACTTCACAATCACTTTAAAAGACTTTGTTCGCCCCAAAAATGAGGCAAACTTACTGGACTACATTGTACCTTCGTAAATAAGGGCCACACTTAGGACATTATTATAACTTTGTCAAATTCTGATTTTCATATTTAGACTTTATTTGTAGTACATGTGCATGTACAGTAGTACATTTACGCTTAAGTATTTCCTAACAAAATGGGAAATGTTTCTCAGTCCCAGATTTGCGTTTTATCATTTTTGCATTGAGATGATGTGAAGAAAAAAGTGGCGTCAGGTTGCAACATTTTTTTCTGGTCTTTTTTCGTGTCTGGATTATCACGTGCGCCTTGATTAAAGTCTTCATGACTGACAGCGGAAACGATCCAGCATTGCGCATGACCTTCTCAATGTTGGAATTTATGCAGACGTGTGCAAACGAACCTGGAAATTATATGAAAAATAGACATCTGAACAGGCAGGACTTCTTTACCATCACTTTAAATTAAAGAGGGCGAGTGAGTTTCTAAAGCGTAAATATACTACAAATAAAGTCTAAATGTGAAAATCAAAATTTGACAATCATGACAGTAATATTTTTCTACGGAGGAAGTCCAATTCTAGAACTTAGTACTATAGGACGCATAGCCAAGAATAGTTAAACCTAAAAAATGTGCCCCTCTTTCATTTCGATCAAATTAAGAGTCAAAAATGGTTTTTGTTGTTCAAAAATCACCTTTACAATCAAAAGTAAACTTTTCTCAATTCTAATGACACCCGTTTTGCAATTTTGAACAGTTTCTTGGGGTAGACATGGCAGAAATCACAATTTTCTTACGCGGTTTGTGCCTTGGCTTATTTGCGATTCAGTGCGCCATGCTTGCTCATGGTACATCGCGCAGTGATTGCCATCTTTATTTTTGGGTTGCGTGTTGTCGCCGTGCTGTCATCGTCCAAATTTCCCTCAAAAAATCAAAACCCTGCCCTCTGTCAACCTGTCAAGTATGACAGGCCTACCTGTTTATTGAGAATGTCCCCAACTAGTTTGGTCAGTCTGATAATATTTAAGTGGATTTTGTTCCCTTTCTATTAGCTTAAGTAACTCCAGCTGACATGCTCATATTCATTCACATGTAGCGCTGGAGACATAACCTATTCATGAGAGTGCGGTAGCAAGAGACCAAAAAAAAAGGGCCTCTACAAAAATGGTCCATTTTCACCTCTATAATCATGATAATCCCACCCTAGATTCCATGGACATACCTCACACCATTCAGCAGTCATTCACGAAGCTAATGATCGACTTGAAACAGAAAAAAAAAAAAGGGGGACAATTTTTGAAGATTTTGGCGGCTTGTCCATTAAAACGTCCAATTCCAACGGCTGTCAGATCTTGTTTACTTAAGTGCAAATGATGCATCATGTGATGATTATCGGGAAAAAAAATTGCGCGATGTATGTGGGTACCACACCGCTTTCAAGCGCCACTAGTGGGTTCAATTTTCGTCTGGTGCGTTGTCGTGAAAAGCAGTCGTGGAAAGCAAGACAACGCACCAGACGAAAATTGACAGTGTTCTATAGGAACCTGGCCCTACACTATACACGATTGCCAAAAAATTAATAACTATACTATTTATCAGTTTATATGACCATAATCTGACTGAGCTGCTTTTTATACGTCATTGGATTTCATTTTAACTTCAAAATTTAATTTCAAATGATGATGTCACATAAACATGATAAAGTTCGAAAAACATGAAGGAAAAACAGTTGCAACCCAACGCCACTTTTTTCTACGGCACAGGGATGAACATGCAAAAATGTCGATAGGCATGAATCTGCATCATCTTTCTGGGACTGAGAAACATTTCCAATTTTTTTGTTAGGAAAAAAGGCCTAGGCCCTATAGCGTAATTTTTATTCCTAGGAGGGTTAGGGGCAATGTCATGAATAATTCATGTTGATCCATGAGAACGGACAATGACATCAACAGCATTGTTGTTAGTTTCTCAACTAGTTACAATACATTAAAGCATTTTAAAGAACGGTTGTCGTCGAGCTACCACACAGTAGCCTAGTGGATAGCGAGATGAGCTATGGATACAAAGATCCCTGGTTCGAATCCACGTCGTCGCTGCTCATTTTCATCAGCTATTTTTCTTCTCCAAATTTATCACTGAGATAATTTTAAATTAAGGGGAAAATAGAACGAGAACCTAAGTCTTGCAATAATTCAAAGGAAAAACTGAATTATTCATGACATTGCCCCTAACCCTCCTAGGAAAAAAAATTACGCGGCCCTATAGGCTAGTAGTATATTAGTACGAAGTGGCTATCGTTACGGCAGCCGTTGTTTAGCGCCCTCTACGATACTTTTTTGATATGCACGCAGGTATGGCGAGCAGTGCGACAGCTCAGACGATAGAGGGTAGGATTTTGCACCGCGAGGTTGCGGGTTCGAATTCTCAGTTCTACACTCGAATTTTTTCCCTTTTCTAACCTGAGGCTTTGGAGGATTTTTTTTAAAAGGGAAATAAATTCCGAAATTTCATATTTTCTTCTCATGTTTTTATAAAAGTTGCAGTCTACCGTAACGATAGAAAATGGGAAATGCGTTACGGCTGCCGTAACAATAGCCACTGCGATATTTAGTAAGTCATTGTAAGTAGTAATGTATACTTAGAAAATTTTCTTGACACTCCATGGACTTTGTACACAACCGCTTAAGTGGTTAAGTGGCGTCAGGTAGTTTTCGTCATGTTTGTACTGTACTGTACTTCTCACGAAACGTTTTCAATATTCACCTCCACGAAGCCGAAGGTGCACTCGTACTCGTAGTCGTGTCGTCATGGTCGTACTCATCACAGTCACATGTCAATGTTTTGGTTGCCATCTTGAAAAGCGAGTGCGTGACACACACGCTGGTTTCCAGTCACAATTTTTTTTTTTACATTGGCCCTACAATTTTATAATCCACAAACTGGCTGGTGCCCTACTCGGCTACTTAAGTTATATCCCGACGCGCCGACATGTAGTACGCCTAGCTTACATGTAGGCCTAGGCCTATATCGACCTTGCGCACAGCTTGCATGCACGTCAGCAAGACCTTTCTTTATGTTTGTAAACATTGGCGCAATTTTATATGGGCTGCCGCACGCGCATAGCCATAGATTGAAGCCGTGGTTGGCAACATGTTTTTTTTTCCAGAAAAGTCATATCATAACGCCTTCAATACGTAGGAAAAGGGAATGCTTCGAAAATATTTTGTAGCTTTGTCGACAATGTTGTATTTTAACATTCAAACAATATTTTTTTTTAATTTTTAATAACTAGTCTGCATTTTTGCAGTGCTGGACCTTCCATAGTTTGGCAACAATAATAGTCACGACACGTGAGAGGGACTAACCAATAGCCGTGGCGCGCGCGCTTAGGCGCGGACAGGTCTTCGCCTTATAAGGGATAATTATGCAAAGTGCTAAAGTTCACCGGCATGCAAATTGCGCTGGGAAAACTTTTAACCAATCAGATTCTCTGGAGTGCGCGTCCGTCGGGACGATGGCATGCAGGGTGCGGCACGGCGCCGACTAGGCTGTACTATGCCTGCCAGCTATTATGCCGCGCCTAGTTAAGTTAGCTAAGTTTTTTGACATCTCGGTTTTGTTTGCAATGAAATCAACGTAGGGTACGATCCGAATCCGAATGCCGAGAATTAATTAT